TTCTGTCAGGCACCACGTTGGTATCACCAGCACCACTTGCTGCCTCGTCAGCCTTACTCTCAGCTTCTAGCACAAGAGCAACCTGGCCTCTGGCTCCCAACCCATAAGCAACCTGTAACACAATACAGACCCTCCACACTACGCCCTATAAATAAGATAAACCAAGGGCAACAAGTCCTTAAATAAGCAGCTGCCATTACCTGCTCCCGAAATGAGGCACCTCACCTAAGCTGGACCACAGCTGTATCTATCTAGAGTCCGTTCCCTGCCAAACTCCTGAACCCTGACCAAAGAGCAGGGGAGGTGACACTGTCACTCAGTCCACCTGCCTGCAGCCATACAGAGCACTCACATGCCACTGCCTAAAAGAGGTACCCTATCCATTAGGCCAGTCCAATTCCTGCCTTGAGGTTACCTAGAAACATTGCTTGGGGGGAGGGGGGGAGGGGCAGACTTTAAACATACACCTTTTATTTTCCCTCTGTGTTAAACAGAAATATTACCGTTACGTAAAATCCATACTTTTGTCACTAAACACTAACTCACAGGAGAGTTATTTTCAAAGGGAAACAGAACAGTGATATTTAAGTGAGAATCCAAGACAAAAGATAATACCAATAATGTCAAGATTACCCATGCTAATGACTGCTTTGCTGTTTCCAACATTAATGATGGATTCTTAGGAGCACAAACATCTGACTCTGCTCCCTTGTGAAACGCAACTAAAATGAGTTAAGGGGGAAACAAATCATAAATCAGAGACACCAGCAACAGAGACAAAAACGGATGACCTGTTTGAGTTCAAATGCTGACTCACTCATTTATAAATAACTTTGGGCAAGTTACTTAACTTTTCCAAGTCTTAGTTTCTTGATCTATAGAATGAGAGTACCAACACTTGCTTGACAGATATTTGGGAAACTGGGTGAAAAAACATGTAAATATGGGCATAGTACCTGATGTTTACTAAAATTCAAGAATTGGTAGCTGCTCACACGGCAATTACTATTATCACCATTACTTCCTCACTAGCCACCTGACTAAAATTTGCCCAAAACATTCCAGAAGACAGAAACACATTAGGCTGCTTCTCAAATGGCTTAGAAGACTCAATAAATTAAGATGCCCTTGAAGGTCATAATTTGAACATTATACACTAGAAGTAAAAGCAAAAACTCATACACAGAACAAAAAACTTCACTGAATATCACAGAACCAAATCCATCTTTAAAGGAACAGGAATATATATTTTTTTCCCTTACCTTGCTGAAGTCCACATCACTTCACAACTTATTTCAACACTTCACTATTTGTATCCTGGAGCAAGATCTACTGCATAAACTAAAACTTATCAGATAAAAGTCCTGCTGTTGGTCTCTACAGAAAAACACACCAGCAAATTAGGTGCAAAATATCCACAGTACACACATGCCAGAAAACCTATAGGAAGTTTTAAAATACAAACCATATTCAACAATTCAAATTATTTTTTTAAGTTTATTTTTGAGAAAGAGAGAGAGAAAGCAAGCATGAGCAGGGGAAAGGCAGAGAGAGACAGAAGAGAATCCTAAACAGGCTCCATGCTGTCAGCGGGCAGCCTGACGTGGGGCTTGATCTCATAAAAGACCTGAGCCGAAATCAAGAGTTAGACGTCTAACCAACTGCGCCACCTAGGCGCCCTTCAACATTTCAAATTATTTTAAATGTGAACTGAAATCATTTTAAAAGCACTGAATCCTAGAGACTAATTTAAGAGGTAGAAAGAACAATTGCCTGTGTAATCTGGCAGGTCTGAGCTCTGCCTTTTACTAACTGGTATGACTTTTAGCACAATACTAAACCTCCCGAGCCTCACTTTTCTTCTTACCTCACAGGAGGCTAACGTGAGAATTAAATGAGATAATATGCCCAAAGAGCCCTGTAGGTGCTCCAAAACTAAGAACTGCTATAATTACATTACTATTTTAAGAAATACAATTCTGGGTTACTTGTCTACAACTGACTCATTCACAATATCCTGGTTCCTCTAGTTATCCCTCTCTGTACTTTAACTGTAAAAGTTCCTACCTTATCTATCTGTTCTTCAAAAATGATAATGTAATGATCAGGTGGGGCACGCCATTCTTGATCTCAAGGTGGTAAATTCAAGTCACATGCTAGAGATAACTTAAAAATATAATCTTAAAACAAGTTTTCTTAATATGTATTTACTTATTTAGAGAAAGAGAGAACATGAGCAAGGTAGGGGCAGAGAGAAATAATCTCAAGCAAACTCTACATTGTTAGCACAGAGCCTGATTCCGGGCTCAGTCTCATGAACCATGAGGTCATAACCTCAGCCAAAATCAAGAACTGGATGCCTGACCGACTGAGCCACTCAGGTGCCCCTAAAAAAATTATCTCATTTTCTTTAACTATAACCATTTTTTCTTAAAGTTTATTTTACTTATTTTGAGATAGAGTGAGAGCACGGGAGGCACAGAGAGAGAGACAGAGAGGAAGAATCCCCAGGCTCCACACTGCCAGCATAGAGCCTAATGTGGGGCTTGAATTCAGGAACCATGAGATCATGACCTGAACGGAAATCAAGAGTTGGATACTTAAGCGATTGAGCCATCCAGCTGCCCCTGCCAAAAATTTTTTAAATAATGATAATGTAAAGGCAACAAGAGGTCCCAAGTGTACCCTAATACAGGGGACAAGAACTAGGTGACCCGCCATCACTCAGAGGTCCGCTCATGTAGCATTGGCCATTACCAAGTAGCAACCACTTCTTAAGCCTAAATCAACCACTCATCAAAGGGCAGACAGACTAGGCAGGGAAGAAAGTTAAACTTTCCGTCCCCATGATCAAATTCAGAAGCAAATATACGAACAAAAAAACATGACAGCCCACGTTCTGTAACCTGTTTGGTAGTTTATTTTACTATCTGCAGTTTTTTGTAGTTAGACACTACCAATTTTTAATTTCTTTACACATCCAGTAAGAAAGAAAAAAGGCAGAGGTAAGGAGAAAGAAACCATATATTCCCGTAGGGTGGCAAACTGGGAAGCATAGCAAAGCTTCTAGAGACAGTAAGGAAAAACGAGTATCTTCCAGAAGAATAGTACGCTATCCCAACAAGAGTGGTATCTGCACTTTCTATATCACTGATGCACACATTTCGTAAATTCAGTCCTTGAAATTAGAGGAATTTTACTTACAGAATGTACTAACATCATTACGAATATGCTAGTGAAGAACCTTTGTCAGACTCAGTTCTTTTCTGCAGTCTCCCTTAGTAAGCATTTACTGAACACTGTAGTCGCCCAGGGTGATCCTGCAACATATGGTGGATTCCTGCCCTCAGAGATCAGATCAGTAGGCAGTTGGGGGCGAGGAGTCAAATAAAGAAATCACTACCAGGAAGAGTAAACCCTAGACATTCTCATTCCCAGGTACAGTCTGGCCATTAGACAAGCTGGCTGCACAAGCACATGCAGGTGGATATTTTCTCACTGATTTGTTCAGCAAATAATGAGAGCCATAAGTAAACAGGCAGCTAGGTCCCAGCTCGGGCCCTAATTCCCCTCGTGACTTCAGACAACTCACTTCCTGCACTGGCACTGGTTTCCTCAAACACCAGGAGACCCTTTCTCCCTTTAAATATAAGGGACTTGCCTCTGGTAGTGGCTCCACCCCGCCCTACTCAGAGTGGGTACTTTAAAAATATATATATTCTCAGGGACCAGGAGTCAATGGTGTTGGGAATTAAGCACTAGTGTGACTAGTGTGACCGTCGTACCTCATTCCCTCCACTTACACTGAAAAACAGGAACTTAACTATTCGTTCATGAAGCCTCTTCTGTGTAACTTACTCTACCTTAGAGATAAAAACAAAAAACTCTATACTAACACGAAATAAAAAACCCCCTGAGCTCCAGAGTTCTCGACCTGGATGAATAAAAGGATCAAATGTGAAAAAAGTACAACCAAGGCCCTAAGAGTAACCACTGCACAGCTAAGAGCAGGTGAAACGGAGGGGGCCGGCCGCACGCGCGAGCGCAGTTTCAATACGAATCTGGATTTCTTAAAAAGGGTGTGATCTCCGTGCGGGAGGAGCACAAAAAAGGGCCCCACTCTACTCGACCAGAGAGCCGGCACCAGGAAACCCGAGCCGAAGGAACGGCGGCGGGCCGGCCCGGAGCCCCTGCTGGGAGCTGACTGCGGCGGGCTGGCAAGGAGCACCCGCGGAGGGGCGGACCGGCGGCGGGCGGGCGAGGAGCACCCGAGGGGGGCGGGCGAGCGAGAAGCACCCGATGGGGGAGGATCGGCGGCGGGCGGGCGAGGAGCATCTACGGGGAGCGGACCGGCGGCGGGCGGCTGGGAGCATCTACGGGGAACGGACCGGCGGCGGGAGGGCTCGGGAGGGGCTGGGCGGCTCTAAGGGAGGCTCTGGAGAGACGAGGGAGGGGAGAGGGCGCGGCCGAGGGCAGTCCCTCCAGAGACGCGCATAGGTGGGCGGCTCTACGGAAGGTTCCGGAGGGGCCAACACTGTGGGAGAAGAGGGTGCGCGGAACTGGACGGCTCTAGCAGAGGCTCTGGTGGGGCCGACACCCCAACGGGAGAAAAGGATGTGTGCCGGGGGTCAACTCAGAGGGTCGCCGAGTGGGCGGCGCCGGAGGAGGCTCTGCTGGGACCTACGCCCTGGAGGGCGTTCTCTCAGAGGGGTGCGGGGCTGGGCGGCTCAACGGGAAGCTCCTCAGGGACCGACATTCGGGAAGGGGAGGGCGTGCGGAACCTGGCAACTCCAGAGGAAGCTCTGCGGGGACCGACAGCGGAGAGGGGCGGGACGCTGGCCGAGAGGGGGTCTTCTGGGAGGAGGACGGGGCTGAGCGTCTCAGGAGAGTCTCCAAGGGGACCAACCCCGGGTGGGTGGAGAGGAAAAGGGGCGCAGACGGGTGGGCCCGGCCCGAGGGGGCTCGGGGTTCGCGCGGGCCACACAGGGACAGTTAGTTACCTGCGAGCTATCCGGCAGCCGCCGCGTACCACCGAAGCAGGACCGCGAAGCGCAAGGACGCCACCGAGGCTTTTCAGAAGCAAATGACTCACGCCTGCGTCCTGGCCGCCGTCCAACGTCACACCGCCGTGGCGCGCATGCGCCTGGCCGCGCGGGGCATGCCTGGAATGGTCCTGGGAGGGGGGACGGAGGCAGCCTCAATTCTGCTGGAGTAGAGGCTTAATTTTCAACTGAAAAGGAATTGTTTGCACCCTGATCTTGCGTCTAAATATAACCCTCCAATAATAAGAGCCATGGCTCCATAGAGAAATGAGTGGCTCTAGAGGTGGGGCAGGAAAAGTACAACCTAGAGTCTGGAACTTGATGTAGCGCCAGAAATAAGGAATGCTCAAAAAATAAAATCATGGAGGCGTGTCGGAGAATACAGAAGTCAACCTGAAAGAGCACTCCATGGCCAAATCTGGAACAATTTGAGCAGTAAAGTTATATAGTATTGGATTATAATTTAGAGTATAAAACAAGTCAACTCTTTTGTAAATAAATGACTAAATTAATGGGGAGAGAAATCTTTTTTATAGAGGAATTCTAATTAATCAGCCCCCATCCACCCCTCAAACTGCATAATGACTTCCTCCCCAAGAGTGAAATGTGAGAAGGGGAAAAAATAACTTTACAGTGAAAAACCTGACAAATGCTACTAAACCATGTAATCAAGGTTGACCTCAGCAGTGGTAGTAAGTCATGTTGGTAATATTTACCCCTGACATGATGTAATGGAAATGTCACTTTTCCGGTGGTCTTCCGCCCCATTTAGTGATGAGAAAAACATCAGGCAAATCCCTATTGAGAGATATTCCACGAAATACCTCACCAGTACTCCTCAAAACTATGAAGGCCATCAAAAATAGGGATACAAGATGGTGTCCTGGAACAGAAAAAGTGATGTTAGTGAAAAAATTGGTAAATTCTAAATAAAGTCTTGATTTTAATAATAATTACTGGTGATTTTGGTTTTGAAAATTGTGCCATGATTATGTAAGACTTAAGCATCATGAGAAACTGAAGAATATACTAATTTTTCTGCAAATTTAAAATTATTTCAAAACAAAAATTTTATCTAAAAAAAAGCGAAGATAATGGAGGTGGAAAAGGGGAAATGTTAGTTACCTCTACCAAGAAACTTTTATGATGCTCTCAAGCCCCTGTGGGACCTCTGGGGTCAGGGTAGGGACACTTCCTGAAAAGTGGCCTGAGGGAACCTTGGGCAACCCTACTCCAGAAAAGTAAATACTGTGTAAACATTCATCAAGCTGTGCACTTAAGATTTGTTTTCTTTTCTGTGATAAATAGCAAACATTTAACTGAGTAAATTTAAAGATCAAATTGATTTTATTCAAGGATTCATGAATAGGGTAGCATCCTATCTAGTAAACAGAAAGGAACTCCAATGAACTGTAGAAAAAGAAATGTTTTTAAAGGTGGAAAGAGGATAGAAAAAGAAAATTATTAGCAAAAAATGCATTGTTTCAGGCAAGGATGCCTTGCTAAGGAGATCAGAAGGGGTCTATCAAGCAGACTATCTCTCTATGCTGACCAAGTAATTCCATGTTGTATGGTTAAAGGTTGTATTCCTGGGAGGCTGAAACTACACTTAGGTTAGGTATTAAGTCTTGGTTTGCTACTGTGGAATTTAGCACAAGTGACTCCATTTTGAGACTGCTTTCTTATTTTTAACATCAGCATGTAAACTCTCCTCTCCCCTCCCCCATCACAAAATTTTTTTAATTTAAAAATTGGGAGAAAGGCAAATTTAATGGTCTTCAAAAGTCGAAACTGTGATGGCTAGAGCTCCTGCCTTAACCTAGCTTTTCTCTGGGAAAAAAAATCCAGGATGGGGAGTTCTGTGATGCTTTCCAATCTAATCTTTTGTAAAATAGCGTGACTTAGTCAACAAAGAGTTCAGAGATTGGAGTCTTCTATAATTCTTCTGGTTCCACCATCCAAAAATGAGCTTAAACATATTACCTGACATCACTGAACTTCCTGATCATCTCTCAATAAATAAGACTAGCCCTATCTTCTGTGTTAATCTTAGGTATCTTTCAAGGCTTGGAGTTGAAGTGTCCAAAAATACACAAGCATTTTGACTTTGAGCAATGGGGCTGTGGATGACTTATTTCTTCTTCATACTTTTCTGTATTTTCCAACTTCAATTAATCACTTAGACAATAGGAAAAAGGTAATATTTGAAACTTATTTGGTTTAAATAGATGTTCCAGGAGCTGGAGCAGAAAGTGTCTTCTAGTAAGTTTTCTGGTTTAATAAAATTGGCTTGCTTTCTTTCCTTCTTTTTTTTTTTAAATTTTCCAATCTCTTTAATCTAAATTCAGTTCAAAACAGTTCTCTTAGACTATTAATACACTATTTCACCATACATAGCAAAGCTCACAAGCACTCACCAACACCATATCTTGTGCATAGTTACAAACACTTTGTTCAATAAATGTGGATTGAAAAATCACAGTGTGCCAATTGCTGGTGATATAAACAACAGCAACTTTCAGATCCTAATCATCCTGGACTCCTGGGACTCCATAAGTGGAAGCAGGAGGTAAATGAAAGTCTCCTCTGGAGTGTTCTGACATGCTCTCAAATCACCTAAGTCATTTTGATACCAGCATGCCCAACTTGCTGCCACTAGGCCTGGTGCTGCATTTGATCCAAAGATGGTTGCAGGGTACTCTCATGAGGAGCAGTGCTCAGTAAAATGGGTTTTCTGTCCAAGTTTACTGACAAGAAAGTATAGGAGGAAAAAGGCCAGCTGTGGGGGTATGAACACCTGCTTTCCATTCCCATATCTGCCAATACTGAATATGTGGCCACTGGTCTAGAACTGAAAGGGAGTTTCAAGGAACCACGCTAGGACTCTGTATTCAGTGGTCACCTGGCAACGTGGCTACATAGAATTTGTGGTCCTCAACTTAGTCAAACCAAATTACGTGCTCCCTGTTTACCAGTACTAAAACTGAAGAAAGAAAATGTTAAGTTTTTTTGTGGTTAGAAAAGAAATTCTAAATAGGACACGGGGGTGCCTGGCTGGTTCAGTTGGAAGAGCATGACACTGGTCTCAGGTTCATGAGTTCAAGCCCCACACTGGATGTAGAGATTACTAAAATAAATAAATAAATAAATAAACTTTAATAAAATAAATAAGACAAGACATGACGTAATATGTCATGTCTCTCCAGGTCACATCCAACTTTATTTGGAATGGAAATCTCATGAAAACAAGCTTGCTTCTTGGGTCAAGCCAAAGTGAAGTCTAGCCCAGGACTAGGAAGCCCTTCCACTCAGCTTGCTATACCTTTGCTCTTCCTAGATAGACTCTGAAACGGTTTCTATTGGGTAGGAAACAATGAGTTTTTGCATGTTTAAATTTGACTTTATTTTGCCCTCAACATGCACTGAAAAGCCTTAGTTTTCTTTAGACAATTGAGCCCATTTCTTTTGAGGAGAGCAATTGGGTTTTTGCCCACTATAAACATGAAACTGTCCATGCACACAAGAATGGGGAAGAGAGACAGGGCACAGCTGTTATTGTCCCTGTTTATAGGCCTATTTCTCACCACATTTCCCTCTTCTACCTCACACCTGCTCTGCCTATTTAAACCATTTATATTAAAGTGAGTCCCTCTCCTCCCCTATTCATCATGTCCTCTATTACTGCTTCAGTTTGCTGTGTTGCTTATTAAACACCTACTTTCTATTTTATAGAATTCCTAGGAGAGAATAGAAAACCAAAGGGTGTTCCTGGTCTGCTGTCTTGAGTCAGAAGCTTCCAACCCTAATTGCTTTCTACTGTGTTCAACTGTCTCTAAATATCTGGTTAACCAATAGTACTCTTAAGTTCTTTTCCAGGACTATTGAGGATTCCTTCTTTTAAAAATACCTCTTCTAGGGACACTTGGATGGCTCAGTTGGTTGGGCATCCAACTTCAGCTAGGGCATGATCTCCTGGCTCCTGAGGTCAAGCACACGTTGGGCTCTGTGCTGACAGCTCTGCTTCAGATTCTATGTCTCCCTCTCTCTCCGCCCCTCCCCCACTCACATTCTGTGTGTGTCTCTCTCTCTCTAAAAAATAAATAACTATTTAAAAAAATAGTAAGGGGCGCCTGGGTGGCTCAGGGCTAAGCGTCCGACTTCGACTTAGGGCATGATCTTACGGCTCATGGGTTCAAGCCCTGCATCAGGCTCTGTGCTGACAGCTAGCTCAGAGCCTGGAGCCTGCTTCGGTTTCTGTGTCTCCCTCTCTCTCTGACCCTTCCCTGCTCACACTGTCTCTCTCTCTCTTTCTCTCTCTCAGAAATAAAACATTAAAAATTTTTGAATAAAAAAGAATAAAAATAAAATAAAATTAAAATACCTTTTCTAGCCTGGCTGGCTCAGTCGGTAAAGCATACAACTTTTGATTTCAGGGTCCTGAGCTCAAGCCCCACGTTAAGCATGGAGACTACTTAAAGTGCTAATAAAGTCATTAATGAAAATAAAATTAATAATAATAAAAAACTAAAAATGCCTTTTCTTTTCCCTTAACTGCGCTTGGAAGGGAAGAGTAGATCCCTATACTGAATCCAGTATGCAGAACCAAAACAGTTTTGCACTCTCAAAAACTTTGCCTCCAGCTAGATGGTAAAGGGAAAAAAGTCCTGTTTTCCTATTAGCCGCTCAATTTTTAAGCAGAAGGAACTCAAATAGATTGACACAAAAAACCCTAAGACTCCAGTAGAGAAACAGGCAAAAAAAAAATATGAGCAAATCATTCACACAAGAGAAAATGCAAATACAACAAATGAATCTTGTAAATGAAGCTTGCCTGTAATCTAACAAATGCGAATTAAAACAAATGGTTTTTCAGTGATCAAATTTTGAAAGGTTCTTAATGAAATGTTCAATACAAGGATTTGATGAGACAGGGAGTGGCATCCAGTGCTTGTGCAACTATAGATCGCTGCCATCCTTCCAGAGTTAAATCTGATAGAAGGTTTAACAGAAGTTTAACATAGTTCATACTCTTTAAACCAGTAATTCTTTGAGGCAATGA